AGATAATACTTGTTGAAATATAGTTTTGGAACTTTTTAAAAGTTTTGGGTATCAAAAGGTAATTGAAAGTTTGGGTTGGATGGAAAACTAGACGGATGCACTATTTGGCGACTTTAATGGTATCTGACACCCTATTCAAACTTAAGTAGTATGTATACCCCAATTCTTAAACTTAAGTGGTATCCGGAATATTTTACCCTAGAAATGATAATCAAAGTTGCAACGACGGATAACTCACCAACATTAAATGAGCATGAATAAAAAAATAAATTTTTTCATAGGAATGGGACAAACATAGCTATAGGCTCTCCTCCCACTCCCCATACCCATATTCATACATACCCCACCAAGAGTATTTCTTCATATATAAAAAATAGAGAAATCAAATTGTAACATATCAACGAAAAGAATGGTAATTAAAAAAGGGTAAATATAATTAATAGCCAAACCTTTCGTTTTAAACAAAATAATAGTCAAACCTTTCAAAAACAAAATATTAGCCAACCCGTTAACTTTCCATCCTATTAACCGTTAGTTCATGTCTATATCACATAACATTTAGTTAGTTTTTTACTCTTCCACATTAGTATTCTTTAAAAAAAAATCCATATATTATTTTAGGGATTTCCTAAGGTAACTTGAATTTTTTTACCTGCTATAGCAAGTTTTACAGGTCACATTACATAAAATACAATCGGCATTACGTAACGATTACGTAACGTATAGTAATCTTACGTAACAATTGTAAAAGGTCATTACGGAAGCCTTACGTAATAGACGGTTATTTTACGTAATGAATACCAACATTGAATTATGTAAAGTGTAAAGTCATTACGGAAGTCTTACGTAACGCTAGTAATTTTAACTGTTACGTAAGAAATAATTGTCGTTACGTAACCTTTACGTAATGGAAGGTCATTTTCCGTAATGAGTATTAACCTCGTGTTACGTAAAGTTCTAAGTCATTACGGAAGCCTTACATAACGCTTCGGATTTAAATGTTACGTAAGAAATAACTATCATTTCGTAACCTTTACGTAATGGATGTGTATTTTACGTAACAGTTGTAAAATGTCATTACGGAAGCCTTACATAATGGGAGGTCCCTTTACGTAATGAGTATTAACCTCACATTACGTAAAGTGCTAAGTCACTACGGAAGCCTTACGTAATGCTCCGATTTTTAACAGTTACGTAACAAAATAATTATCGTTTCGTAACCTTTACGGAATGTATGTGTAATTTACGTAACAGTTGTAAAAGGTCTTTATGTAAACTTACAAGTCATTACGGAAGGTTTACGTAATAAACCACTTTACTATATCTTATGTTTTATAAGTAAAATGAATAAACGTAACTGACTCTCGAACTGATTCAGCTTGCGATTCAGCTTGCGATTCAGCTGATTCAGGAGCGTCATGACCCAATTCATCCCTATGCGACCATTTTGAACCTTATTCGCAGGAAAATCGGGCAAGATTGGTTGGTTAGCTTGACTCATACCTATCGCGAAGGGAATAGAGTCACGGACTGGCTCTCGAAGCACAGTCTCGTCTATCCCTACGGGATGTATGAGTTAGTTGATCCTCCTTTGGGAGTTGTCCCGCTGTTACAGGACGACGTGATGGGTGTTACTTTTGAGCGCCGGGTTGTGGCGACTCCCTCCTCTTCTAACTAGTCCTCCTCTGTAACCTCTCTGTTTTCTTGGCCTCGGCCTCCTTTGGTAATAAAAAAAAAGTAAAATAAATAAACGGTACCGTTTATATAAAAAAACCCCTCTAAAGCATAATTGACGGGATAAAAAATGGTATCCTCAAACTTTTCCTATTATTTCGACCCGTAAAAAATGGAAAGAATCCCCTTTTGATTTCCAGCTAGCCGGTTGCCATTATTTTCTCTTTTTCCATTTTTTTCCATTTATTTTGTAATCGATGGTTTAAAATCATCCACACTCATTTAAATAAATGGTTTAGATCTTCCCCAGTCAACAAACTTGAAATTAAGGGCAAGTTACTGTAGTGAATCCCTTTATTTTAATATATTATATTACAAGTAGAATGCTAAAATCGAGAGGAAAGCCTCCTTCTATCCTTCTCCTATCCTTCATCCTTTCCAAGCTCGGTGGCGGAACGATTCTTCGACGTCCACAACAAAACTGACGGCCTTCGGTTGCATCACCATGGCCTTCATGAGCGATAGACAGGGCAACTTCGAAAGCAGATGTGTCTCCCTGTGCGACCAGATCTCTGCCGCCATCTCATCCCGGTGGATCACCCATGCGAACTCGTAGATCTGCTCCGGGATCGGGTACTTCCAGAGCTAGATCCCCCAGGGTTTGAAGACGATGAACATCACGGTGAGGCATAGGAACAACAACATGAACTTGGAGTCGAATTCTTGTGTTCTGGACGACGTGAGGGTAATCAACTTCGGGGAGGTGGAGTTGGCGGACTGATCGCTCCTTGTGTGCACGATCGAGCTTTAAATTTATAAGCTCGAA